CATTTAGACCCTTATAGAATATAAATATCAGTGCCCTTTAGTCTAAAAAAGAAACCCTCCTGTAGTGATGATCATTTTTGTAGGTTTTGCCACTAAACAGGAAACAGAAAAACAAAGCAAGACAGAAACCATCTGTCAAGGAGGAGTGTTTCTATGGCCCTCCTGGTCCAAATAAGCACTTTGAAAGCTCCTGAGGTACTGTTAGCAGTGTGCACGTATGACCAGGCTCGCCAGCAGGACAGGCAGAGACTAGGACAGCTGTGGCCCTGGCAGCCTTACAGAAACAGTTAGCCTTTTACAATGCAAGTCAGGGATTATCTGTGCCCTGGGGACTCGATTTGCTGGAGTAGGGGCTGGGGGACAGCTTTCAGCTAGCTGTTGTACTAACTTCTTGGAAGAATTTCTCAATGAGTGTGCCAGATGTGCTCCGCAGGACTCGCAGGTTACTGAGTTCTCTCCGTGACACTTCCCCACGGATTTATTGGCTTGTAAATGATTGTTCAAGTACAGCTTTTAGGTTCATTTGATTGACACACGCGAGAGCTCCCATAATAAATGTTCATCGAAGGGCCTAGCTAAGAAATGTGACATAATAATCATTAATATTCCTAGACTCCCAGACCTTTCTTGGCTGGAGAAGAGCAGTTCACATGTGGGTGATGGCAATGGTGTTGACACTGTACCATAAGCCTTACAGGACTCTTGAACATTCTGAGGGCTGCCCTTTGTTTGCTTGCCTGCTAGTGAGTTCGGAGCTCCTGTTTCTGGTGCTGCTACTACCTTGACCTAGTACAGGCTGGTCTCCTGGCAGGTCGTGTCCTCTGTGTTGTTCTGGCAGTCAGTGGATGCCTTGGCTGCCTCTATGCCTTCCCAGCCTCATTTTGCCCTTTCTCATGTGAATGGTCACTCTCTTTACAAATGTTAAAGGAGGGGACTGAGTTCTTTTTGTTAATAGCTTCCCCCACTGAGGGAATTTGGCAAAGGTTTTCAGTGGCATTGACAGTGCCCTGCTTCCAACAGACCAGCAGGGGGCCGAGATGAAGGTCAGTGCCTTTGACTTTCTCTGCGCACTTGTTCCCTGGATATTCATGGAGGAGTTGGAGCGCCTTTTCACACAGGTAGGCAAGTGTGCAAGCTTCAGTTAGCAAGCCTGTGCTGGAAGCCTGGCTCTGCTCTCACGCACTCTTTTTGTAACCTTGAGCAAGTTACTTTAACTAGTTAGAGCTTCAGTTTTCTCAAATGTGAAGTGGAGACAGAACACTGATCTCTTAATGTTGCAGTGGAGTATAGCGTGAATCAGGTGTACTCAGCGCTGACTTGGCAGTTTAGAAAGTTTGTGTTGTTAGCTTCCGCTGTTATTGTTATTATTATCATTATATGTTTGCATCATTGCCTTTACTTCTCATGCTTTATCATCCGCACAGTCTGCAGAGATGGGGTACATGGCACTTTCCTCTCTGGATTTGTGATAGCATGAATTTCACAGTCTTTTAGATGATCCCCCTCACACACCACATGCCACTGTCACCCTTTTTCATATGGCAAAGGCACGGTGAAGATGTAATGGGCAAATGCGTTTCTCACTTGTCTTCTTCCATGACATCCCTCGAATACCTGTGGTAGGCCAGTTTGCAGTTGGGTGAAAGTCTGATTTCAGATTTATGAAGTAACAGCCATTTAAGGACATTGAAGGTGAGTCACTGTGGCTTTTTGGACCCTAAGAGTCCCTGTCCTTCAGGACACAGTGTATAATCCCACTGTCAGAATTCTCCCACTCTTCCCTGAAAACCCCTTCCAGAGATCCAGACCAAACTCAATCCCACCCCTCCCTCCCCACTGTGTAGTCTACAGCCAAACAGCTGATTGTTTGCCTTCCTCACTCAGGGACTTACTGACCAGGGAGCCCTGGCCCCTCTTCCTGCACCTGAAATCTTTAGAGGTACATGGCAGGAAGTACCTTACAATCCTGGTATTTGAATACAAAGCTCGTTTTTTAAAAGGGGTGATTATGGCAGTCGGGCTATGAGAGCAGGAAAAACAAGTAAGAAAACGCACAAAAACAATCTTAAAGTAGCTGCGGTGGGTTCCAACTTGCATCCCAGTTCCCCAGGCCTCCCTCCCGGGCGCCATGGCGGTGGTCTCTTCCTCTTGCACCTTGGTCTCTGGTCTCTCCAGCCCTTCGCTGCCTCAACACTGCCTTTAGCCTGAGTTTATCTGTGCAGCATTGCTTCACTTCCCAGGTGTGGTGTGTTCCTCAGTTCTTTTTAGGACTAGTTTGGTGATCTCTTCTGGTGTTTTCCCTTTCTTGCCGCAGGCTGAGCTATTCATCACTTAATTCTTCAGCATGTCCCAACATCAAGGGCCCTGGAGTCTTAGCTGAGGCTGCCTGTAAGCCTCCGTGGCCTCCAGAGAGTCCTCCCTGAGGCTTCATGCCATCAACTTCTGATCCAGCCATCTTTCATTTTCTCTTTTGCAGGGATGAGCTCCCTGCCCTTGTCTGGTTTAAGTCTTACCTGCATTCATGAGCTCTGGATACCTGAGAATGTTATCCTTTTTATTTTACTTTGGAAATTCTTCCATTGCACTGATAGCTCACAGTTTTCTGTGCTTTTCAAAATTTAATTCATTTAATAGCAGAGAGAGAGTGCCAACATTATAGCACTTCTCACTGATTTAAGGCTTATTAACAAACTTCATTTCTTGTATTCCAAGATTTTGTCTCCTAAATCCTTAAGTGGGTTTCTGTTGGTTTAAGGATGTCTCTAGCTGTTGGATTCTTGGGAAAAGAGTTTTTACTCTGTTTTTACTTAGTTTTTGCTCTTAGTCTTTATCCACTTTTTTGACTAGTTGCAGTATCATAATCCAGTATCCATAGAATAAATTGTTTCCACCAGGAAAAAACAAAAACAAAAACCGACCATGATTTTTTTTTTTTTAACTGTTAGCTAGATGATAAGGCTTATGTGAACCCAGGAGTCTATTTTTTTTTATTTGTTTTAGTGGGAAAAAAATTAAATTATATGTGTGTTCCAAGACCTCAAATCCTTTTACTGAAATGTAACCATTTTATTAAAATAACAGAAAAATGACTGTGTGTGTGTGTGTGTATGGTAAACAATCATTTTAGGATATAAATTGTTTCATTTTTTTTTCTAAACAGTAAAATACATTTTAACTGTAAGGCAAGGTGAAATGCAGGCATTTACAGCAAAATGGAGGGAGCTTGAGGGAATTAGTAAAGCGAGTAAGAATGACAGAGACAAATGTTGGACGTTTACGGAATAGATGACTTACAAATTCAAATACTTACAAAAACTAGCAACATTAATCAACGTGAGGCTGGTGAGGTTGAGAGGGAGTTGAGAAGGCAGAAAGGCACAGGGCCATAGGGAAGGTAGCGGCGGTAAAAGAAAAGATGGATAAAGACAAGCTACATGGTCAGCAAACAAAATAGTTAAGATTCTTCCAGAGCTTCCAGAAATTCACATAATGTTAGCAAGCAGCAGCTGTGAGTGTAGCCGCAGACATGGGTGGTCTGGCAGCCTCGCGTCAGCACGTCCCTTTCGGTGATCTCGGGACCTTTTCCTGAGATCACTGACCTGTGCTTGCCAGTGTGAGGATTTTATTCATTGGATGATTTCTTTTGGATCTCTGTCACATGCCATTTTGTTTAAAATGTCTTTAATTTGGGGCTGGAGATACAAACTTTGTCTTTAAATGCTATCTTCATCCCTCCCCTCAACAAGAAAAGAAAGTGATAGTGAGCTATTGCATGTGTCCTGTGAAGGCTGGTCGTTAGAAGCCAGTTTTAGTTTAGTTGGGTTTTTTTTTGAACATTAAAGGTTTCATCATCCTATGTTCTCTGTCTTTTCTCATGGATTAAATTTTATGTTTGCAGCTTGAAGAAAACATTGTAAAAGCACTTTTAAGAACTTTAACTTGCTTCTCCAATCAGCTCAAAAAGCTAGTCGCTTTTTATAAATCTGATACCCTGGGGGTATTTCAATTTTTTTAACATAATAAGTAGAGTTGCTTCATATTCTGACTGACAGATACGAAGCCCTTGTAGATCATCTTATCTAATGCTTCTTACTCTTGGTGACTTATTTTTTAAGGTTTGTAAAGCTTTTTGGTTGTTTTTTTGTCACCCACTCCCTACTCCATGCCCCCTTCTTGGTAATCTGTTTAACAGTTATTTGTAGGCATTATTTTAGGCCTTAACAATGATTTGCAGGGATATTTCAGACTTGAGAGGAAGTGTCTTCTCCAGAGGGGAGTGAGGGAGGACCTCGCGTATTGTCAGTGTGAGACTATCTCAGAGGCTAGGTCCCCCAGACCATTGAGGTGAGGGGGGCCCAGACTGGAGGTCTGGGATGGTTGACTTGTGGCCAGTCTTTCAGACTGTTTTTTCTCCGTTATCCCTCAGTTCTGCCCACTGGCCAAGATCAACCTCCTTCCCCTCGGAAGGAAAGGGGTGGGTTACTTCCGGTGTCTATTTATAGTAAGGGATGGGATTCCAGGTGACTTTGTTGTTGATTCCTTTTTCAGTTTTCCCTTTATTTTACCCTGGTTGTTTTCTTTCTGTCCAGCCACTCATTTGTTTTCAAAGAGATTTTTTCCACCAAGTTTATCCAGTTCTTTTTAGTTGTTTTCAGTAGGATGGTTGGTCCATATAACGGAACCTACAAGAGCCTGAAATCTTATTTGATCTTTAACAATCCTGTGAGGTCCAGTATGCAGATAAATGAGAGAAGTGTTGTGACGTATGAGGGAACTGTGGCTGACAGGAGTGTGCTGACTGATTTAATTAACAGCATACAAGTAGTCACCCAATTTAGAACGTTGAATGAAGCTGGCATGTTTGAAGAAGTTTTCAAAAATACATATGGTACCTTTATGAGACCATTTAGATCACTGACTAATACCGGTTCTATTGGTATAACTCTTTCCAGATTTGACATTCTAAATGGAAAGTAATAATTACTTTCTTTTTCTTTTAGCTGAAGTGAGTAGTGAATACAGTATGGACAAGGCAATGATTGAATTTGCTATGATGGATCGGGAACTAAACCATTATGTAAAGGCTGTTCAGTCTGCGATAAATCATGTAAGTTTGCGGTAAATCATGTAAGTTTACACTATTCAGATGGTTATATTTGGTTACAACTCACTGACCCAGAAATAGAAACACAAAATCAGAATTCTCCTCTAACCTTTAAAATTTCCTTATCCTTACTATAGTAGCTATTCATGTCTTCTTAATCAGGAAGTTCACAGAAGGAATCTTAAATATTCTTAAATATTTTCCTAACTAGGCCACCTAAGTTGTAATTAGGATATTACGTCTATTTTAGGTTTTCTTGCATTTTTTTTTAATGTTGAAGATGTTAATTTAAGCCTCCTTTCCAAAGTGAGACTTTTAAAAAATGCTAAAAATTGCACAAAAACTTGTTTTTGTTATTCTGTTTGCTTAAGCACACTGTGTAGGCTAGGTTTTCTTACTCATGCTCCAGCTTAACTAAAATGCATCTTTTGCAGAATTCACTGGAATCAGATAATAGGGAAGCGTTTTAGATCAAGTTTAAAAATAAAGAAGGTTGGCATTTAGGTTTTTCCAGGAGCCAAACTTATCTTTGTTGACTCCAGCTGTCACAGGAACCACGCGTCAGGCAGCCAAGGTGGGAACATAGCAACATCCTTTCAGCATGACTGTGTTGAGTAAGACGTGAGCTCGGTGATTGCAGTCATGTTTCTGAGAAGTCCTTTGTCCGCCAAGCGGTGGAAACTCCCCTTTGTGCCCATTTCATATACCTGTTTGTAACAGCCTGTCTTGTACTTCTGGTTTCTTTATTTGACTTTTCTTTCTTATATCTATGGGAAAGTTCTAAAAATCTAATATATTTACAAGATTGGCTACTCTTCTGGGGAAAGTAAATATTAAAATAGGGCTTAATACTTAAGCCACCTTGAGTGAGCACTGTATTGCTAGAGGTCCAGAGTGACATGAAGTTTTTCTATTTTATTTTAGAGTTGTATGGGGTTTTTTATTTTAAATACATATTTTTTTTTCTTTTTAGTATTCAGTGTATATTTCTGAGTGACTTAAGAATATCTTCTTCTATCCAAGTAATAAACTCACTAGCTGATGTTTCTAGCCATTGTGACTTATAGTCCTGTGCATATTTCATCCATAGGAAGACAGCAAACTGATGTGATGTCGGGGCATTGGAAAGTGCTTAGGCAGGTGGCTTTAAGCTCTAGCCGACTCCCTCCACCCAGCCAGTCCCCACTTTAACAGAGTCCCACTTCCCTGATCTGAAGCAAAAAGAGGGCACTGTATTTTTTAAAACTCATGTACTAGTGAATGTCCAGTGTTGAAAATTAGTGACCTAAAAGAACAAGGCTGACTTTAAGAATGAAGTTTGCCATCAGACAGGCCAGTCTTACATGAAACTCTTGCTCAGTGGAGGTTATTGGAGAGGCCTTTTTGTCTTCAAATTTGATGCTGTGCAACTGCACAGTATACATCCTTAAAGATTAAAATCTTGATTTGTAGAGCTAGAGAACTTAATGTAGACCTTTCCCCTATAAGGATGCTAAGGTTCACAGACATTGGGGCTAGTTTTTATATAAAGAGTTGAACTTTTAACCTTTCAAAAAACTTGAGTCACTGATGAAAAAAGATCGAAGACAAGGAAACCTTACCCTCATCCACAGTCAGTAGTGACCAGCATTTCTTTCATCTTAGGCCTCACCCCACAACCCCACTCTACTCAAAGGGAAATGTTCTATTTTGAGTTTATCTTTCATTTTAGCCCTAACCTCACTCTAGATTATGGAACAACTTGGCTTTAGTGATCCTAGTGCTTATCAGGAAGCACTGGAGGCGACAACATACTGTTCTCTGATGCAGAGTTGTGCTCTGTATGGCTGATGTAAGGCCAAGAGTAGCAAGTCATCATTTTCTGACATTTCTAAGACCCACACCTATGTAGGGACACAGTGTGGATATACCCATGACTTGGAGGAGGTCTTTTATACCTCACTGTATCCTTTGTGAGCTTTACATCCTGGAGGTTATAGACACCGCTATCTTAATTGCGCATTTTGCTGAGGGGTAACCCTTGAGAGGAACTGGGATGATGTGGTTGTTAGGAAATAGAAAGGGTCTAGGGATCAGAAATCCTTCCAACTCTATTCTTACTTTCTAAATTATGACCCTGGATTAAGAAATTTACCCTTTTGGAAACTCGGCATTTCCATCTATAAAATTCTTGAGCTGCCTGTTTCACAAGGTTATTCTATGAATCAGACTAGACACTGTGTATCAGGACACTTTGACATTCATAAAATTTGATGGCGCTATAAGATAATATGCTCTGCAAATCCATATTTCCAAACATATTCCTTTGAAAGGTGGAGCAAGATTACTCTTAAAAACAAGTACTTTGCTTTGCTCATTTGATTTCAAGACTCTGAAATAAAACTTTTATTGCTTTGACCTATCCTACTCTGGAATTCAAGAGCCATATAGGATTAGATAAAAGCTAGTTAAAGTTACAATGTAAGGTGTTTAATCTCTACGACAAAGAAATGGTTTTAAGTCAGATTACTTAGAGCCAGGTAATAAATAGGAACTCACAGGAGACCAGTTTGGCTTCTGCTCTGTCATGGCGCTTCAGAGTCTCTCCCTGTGACATTTACTCAGATCCTCAGAACCCTGTGGTGTCTCTGCTTATGAATAGCTGCATAGGTGAAGTAAACTAAAAAAATTTAACTGAAGCACATAAATTTTTCAGTAAGTGCTCTCTCCTACTCTCACCTTTACAGAATTGCAAAGGTCATACACCTGAAAAGGTTTCAGCAGTTTACTTTGGAGGTGGAACCTTAGAGGTGTGGGTCAGTTTACCAGCAAGCCCTGGGAAGTTCTACCCTTCAGCCTCAGCTCTGATTGCTTTTCTTTATCCTTGGAGAAAACAGAGCTACTGTATTTACAATGCCTGGAGATTTTATTTGGAATCAAGTGTTCTTGATTTCCAGAGTTCTGAAACTTTGAAAAAAAAATTAAGACTTTGCCAGAACTAGTTTGTAGAGGGAATATTATGCAGTGAGCACAGAACTGGGGTGCAAGCCAGAGGTGCAGGGGCACTGAGAGGCTTCATCAGAGACAGAATGGGGAGCAGAACAGGCAGATCAATGAAGTACCCTGCTGAGGGGAGCAGTGGCCAAGACAAGAAAAGTCTGCTGAGCCATGTGGATCACCTCCAGGGCCGGGGATGGAACTCGCACTGAAGCTGCTATGGTTAACTTGCAGGGCTGCATCCCAAACCATTGCACTACCAGGGAGGGGCTGGAGGCTTCTTTTTATTCTTTTAAAGATTTATTTTTTACTTAGGTATACAAGAACTGAAGTGTAACCCAGAGGCGTGGGGGGTGAGGGTATTCACTAGAAAGAGCAGGGAGCAGAACAGGGGGAATCTACTGAAATGCACTGCAGAAGGTAACAGTGGGTGAGACTCGGAGAGGCTCACTGTGCCATGTGGGTCAGCTCCCTGGCCAGGGATTGAATTTGTACTGCAGTGGCTGTGGTAGTTTTATAGTGCTGTGCTTTAACCTGTTGCGCCACCAGGAAAGACCCTGGAAGTCTTTCATAAACCTTTTCAGGAGCAATGACTTGTATATCTGTTGCAACACTTTAAAGCATTACTATGGAACCACAGAGAGCTCTGTATGAACCTTTGGAGGCTTTCAGTCATGAGACCACAAATGTGATAAAAGTGTTTTGAAACTGGCAAAATGCACACAGATATGTGATGGGCAGTTATTTCCTTTATCACTGTTACTGCAGAGAGAGCTCTCCTCTGCTGCATGCTGAGAATAGGCCGCTGTTCTAAATATATGACTTTTGATGACTTAATGTCTCCCCACCTCTTGCATATCTAGCTTCATTTTTTGAGCACATTGTAGAACATGATGACTGGCTTTTTGTTCTCAAATGTTCATTTAGTAAGTGTTTACAGATAAATAAATTACTTAACACCTATGTGCCTGGTGTTTCCAGGTGTGTGAAGTAGAGGCCAGTCAACAAAGCCCTCATGGCCCTCACTTTTGGGATGTCTGGAGTGGGAGAGGGAGGCACACTTTAACAAGAAGAGATACAGGTGCAATTTGACGACGGTTGTGGTGCATATGCCCACAAAGGGAAAGTCCTGTGTAGAGGGCAGAGTATCTGCTGGGGCATGGAGGACTCCTTCCTGAGGAAGTGGTATCAAATTTAAGGGGAAAGTCAGATGAGACTCAGCAGGGGGATGGTGACATATTACTTCTTGGTCTCTGTGACCTTTGCATGAAATGTAAGCATCTTCTTTCTGAATGTCTCGTGTCAGAGTCTCAAAGTGCTTTGATTAATCAAGACTTAATTTTAGAAAATTAGGCCAGGCAAGGCTGACATTTCTATAGGGAAAGTTTAAAGTATATAGGGTAGTTGAGAAATGTGCCCAAGGCTGGTCAGTGATTATTCATGCAGCCCTGAGTGCCCACTGCATGTGCCAGGTGCTGAGCTTAGTAATACACACCTTGACAGCAGTTGATTTAAGAAGACTTTTATTACTCTGTTCTGCTTTCCAAGCACTTCACTCGTCAAACAGGGGTCATCCCTCTTGAAACGCAACTTTTATCTTGCAGCCAGTGAACAATGGCGGTACTATGTATTTCTGATACTATGTTTATGTGACTGTTTAAAACTACGTCCGTCCGTCCATCCATAGTCCTAGCTTATGGCTCTCCATCTATTTTCAGGTATGTGATTTTTCAAGTAAAAGATGATAAAAGCTCCAACCATTATTATGGGGGTGGTCCTTGCAACTTTTTTATAACCTTGGTTCTCATAGTAAAAAGGAGAGGATGGACCATAAAATTAAATGATAAATGGCTAAACAGGTTCAGTTTAGTTTCACATATTATTAGCTGTCAGTGATAAAATATATATCCTCTGTGCTTTTTGATGAGCACTTAAATCCTGGAGGTTAGCAAAGCAACCAGAGCTTGAGATACACAAACTGTCGTTGTTTTGTTCTTTAATCATGATCCTTAGTTGTTTGATTTTAC